TATGCTGCGTAGCTAAATCACACCCAGCATTGAACCTTCAGTTCAATGCTTGTTCAAACCTACTCAGCATTTATGACGACAAATAAAGGTGTCGTATGATATAGCATTATATACTCGGTGCATCAAGTGTCTCCAACTTAGAACCTATATGAAAAATAGGAATCAGAATAAATTAATTACATTTCAACCTTCAAACGTGACGTGTCGTGGTTAGTAAAAGATATCACGGTCATGAGTCCGGGGACCAGGAGCCAACAATTGGGATTTTTTTCCATGATTTGTTTTCCGTTGACCTTGTTTTCCGTGCTGAGTACCAATGCTACCGACGCCAGGGAGACAGCTCCCACACCTGGACCCTACCTATCGACCCATCAACTCATGAACCGGGGACCAACGGCTTTACTTCCCTTCCGAAGGAAGGCGTGATCAAAGATGATATGCCTCAGAACATCCCGGCGGCGCCAACTGGGATTGAACCCAGGCCTGCTGGGGTGAGAGGCAATCACGCTTACCACTACACCACTAGCGCTGCTTATGAGCAAAATTTGATTCATTGAACTCCAGGAAATTGCATATTTAAATATATTACTCCGAAAAGAAGCATTTTGCTGGAAACTCTCAAAACTCTAACAGATTCCACCGATTACACTAAATATTGTACCGATACTTGTATAGCGAGGAAACAATATTTCAGAATATTTCATAGACATTCAAAAAAGTTATAGCTCTTTCAACTTTTTCATCTCGATTTAATAAACTGTATTACGTTTACCATCGGGGAATTGGTCAAAATCATATTAAATCAAAATCACATGGGAATTCTAAAACATTGTCATTGGCGGACCATACGGATATTTCTTGAAGCAAAAATAAAATTAATTTTTTCGCCGGTATATAAATTGGTAAGAACGGGCACGTTTCACGATAGATGAATAAATTAGGATTTTTATTCTTAATTATAGCAAAGAAAAATAAAAATCACTTAAAACTTGGTATAAACTATTCAATATTCAAATAGCCCAATATGCTTTTCTTCAGCAAGAAATCCCTCAACTATTGATTTGGTCTTAGCTGATTCAAGTCAATTTTGTAGCCAATTGGTTACCCATGCTGACTTCGGTTCAGTAACTTTTGAAATATTCCAAGAAGTAATTGCTAATCCCAAGAGCTCTACTTTCAATTACCATAGAGCAGTAGACGATCTTCAGCTCAAAGTTATCTGGCGGGATTTGCAAAAAACAAATTAAAAAGCGATTCTCTGCCCTGAGGAACAAAACTGTTGAAAATAATGTTTCGAAATTAGCCCCGAGTTCCAAACACTTTTGGAAGCATACATTTTTTTTTAGAAAAATCATCTTAAGCCTATTCCATTTTGGTCTAACTAGTCCAATTTAGAACCTGATTCTTTCGGGATTATTTATCGGAAAAATTTTCTCTCGGGAATTGATGATTCCTGGAGGACTGCTTTGAACGAATTAAGATCTATAACTAAAAAAATTCAAAATATGAAAGATCCAGGTGATGATGGAATTTTCTATATCCTCATCAAAAAACTCCCAGAGAGTACCTTGTTGTTCTTGGTAAAAGTATTTAACACATGTTTCCATTTGGCATACTTTCCTGATAAATGGAAAAATGCAAAAGTTGTTCCAATTTTTGAAGCCGGATAAAAATCCAGCTGAAGCTACTAGCTACCGCCCAATAAGTTTGCTTTCTTCAATAAGAAAACTTTTGAAAAGATAATTTTGAATAGAATGATGCTTCACATCAATACGAACTCAATTTTTGCAGATGAGCAGTTTGGATTTCGCCATGGGCATTCAACTACTCATCAACTCTTAAGAGCTACCAATTTAATTCGTTCAAACAAATCTGAAGGCCACTCAACTGGAGTTGCTCTTCTAGATATAGAAAAAGCATTCGACAGTGTTTGGCATGAAGCATGGTTTCCAAATTGAAAAAGTTTAATTTTCCACTCTATGTTATGAAATAAGTTCAAAATTATTAACCTGACAGAACTCTGCAGGAAAATTATCAAATTTCCAAACCTGTTAGAGCAGAAGTTTCTCAGGGTAAGATTCTTGGGCCTGTATTGTATAACATTTTCACTTTGGACGTCCTTGATTTTCCACACATAAAATGTTTGTAACATATGATAAACAGGAAAACCAAACTTTGTCCTATAAATAAACTTCTAATATTTAAACAAGTTTTTAGACTGGCCATGCTTTATGCTGTGCTAGTATGGTTTAGTTGTTGCACTACCAGGAAAAAAGCACAACAAAGTTCTGAAAATTATTTTGAAGTTGCCTCCCTGGTACAGTACTACCGAGGTACATAGAATTTCGAATATTCAAACATTTGAACAAATGTCCAACAAAAACCGTTGAAGTCCTCCAATAAATTTCCTTTATATTTAGATAAGATTTAGTTTTTAGTTTTAAGATGACAATTGTTATACTGACATGATGGTTAACCAAACGTGTATATAAATTAACATTTTAAGTCTGTTATCTGACGCTTAGCATCTTTAACTATTTATTTGATAATTTATTTAATATGTTGATAGCTGAATAATATCTAAAGAAAGTTACCAAAATAAGATATCATACCACATTAATATATTATATGATATCGGTCAGTTATCAGTTCTTGCTCGGAGTCAGTTATTTATTGGTTCGTTATTCATAGAACATTTCTGGGTCATTCTAGCTCAAGTGGGTTCAGAATTTAAAAAAGTTGTGGTCGATGTCACCAATTTGAGCCAAAATTGGTCAAAACGCTTATTTTAGAATTCAGAACAAACACCTTTTTTTTTGATTTTTATATAAAGTGCCTCGATCCTTCTGGGCTACAACCCTGGATTTTCGAGATTAAAAAAAAAAATCAACTTTAAAAAGAGTTATTCGTGATATTAGAACGTCAATCTAAAGGTTTTTTTTTAATGTAGATTCACAGGTGTACCCACATTTTGTTTTTTTTTATAGTAACTACAGTAAACAGACTGATCACCAATATCAAAACCATCGTTCTTCTAAAGCAGAACGTGTTGGCTGTATCCCATACGAACGTATTTTTCACTTAGATGATCACAATTAAATTATGGACATTTACTTGTTATGATTTCACATAATGACAATTCTGCTCAGAACACGGGAAAAAGTAGTATAAAAATATTATTGTTCCATCGTCGTGAAGGAATTCAAGAAAAAAAAATCTTAAATAGCATTGATTTTCCACCAGTAAAACTCAAAACTAGCACACACTCATCTGTTCATATCTCAAAAACTATTTGTCTAAATCATTTGCCCTTGGAAACACATCAATTGAAAGAGTTTTTCATAGTGTGGTGAAAATATTAATTATTATCTATTAAATATTAATATTATTTTTTGACAATTTGGTAACTGCTGGTAATCAGTCAGTTTACTTTAGTTACTATAGCAAAAACAAAATGTGGGTACACTTATGTAAATCTACATTAAAAACCTTTAAATTTACGTTCTAATATCACGAAAAGATTATTATTATTTTTTTTTCCTTTGGTTTGTTTTTTTCCGTCGATCTTGTTTTCCGTGCTGAGCACCAATGCTACCGACGTGCCAGGAAGGCAGCTCCACACCTGGACCCTACCTATCGACCCATCAACCCATGAACCGGGGACCAACGGCTTTACTTCCCTTCCGACTGGGATTAAACCCAGGCCTGCTGGAGTGAGAGGTAATCACACTTACCACTACTCCACCGGCGCCGTTAAAAAAAGATTATTTGGTTGTGGAGTACTTAAATAACCAACAAGTCCGCTAATTCGCCTTTTTGCAATACAAGGCTAATATGCGGCTAATATAAAGCTTTGTATGCTCTATGTCAGCCGTGTATCAGCCTTATATTGCAAAAAGGCGAATTAGCGGGCTTGTTGGTTACTTGGGTAATCTCTTCTGAAAGATAAATTTTTAAAAAATCTCGAAAATCCAGGGTTGTAGCCGAGAAGGATCTAGGCACTTCAGAACAAAATCAAAAAGCGTTTCGGCCAAGTTTTGCTCAAATCGGTGACATCGACCTTAAGTGGTGTACCCACTTGAGCTGGAATGACCCTTATAAGGTATTATTTTTGGTATGTCAAACTCGTCAATAACATAATTAGGTTGAATTTGAAGTTTTTTTTTGCTCCCGCTCAGGATTCTTTAGGTACTACCATACTACTACTAGCAAAAAGGGTCCGGTACGGACAACCCTACTTGGGCGGCACTATTCGAACCTTTCCCCCGGTGCTGCCTTGAACTTGTCCCCCTTCTCCAGGCAATTCAAGCATCCTGATAACATCTCAAAAGTCGGATACTACTAAAACCATCTTCAAAAGAAACGGAATCATGTCCAGAAATAATATTATGCCTCCACAGTTCATCAACAAACACCAGGCATGGACATGACTTGTATTGCAATGTACTCCAAACCAACAAGACCAATCATATTGGGCTTCCACCTCGTAAGAGCTTGTAAGCCTCTGCATCTGCTTGATTGTTCCGGGAAATGCCAGTGATGATGAATTATTTATGTTGTGTTTCGTTCTAGAACCATTGCACATCAATGCACCGAAATTGCATCGGACGAGTTCCATATGTTTTCCATTCTTGCTGGGATGTGAAATGACTATCAAGAGAGGCATCTTTTATGCAAAATGTTTTCTTTTTCACAATCAATGTCCTTCGATATATCTATGGGGTGGTAGATTGGCCAACGATTGTGGGTTTGAGGGAAACGTGTATCAATCGATTGGAACCCGTATTGTTTTTGCTGTGCAGCAAAAACGAGGATCCAAGCAAAAAATTGATGTAGGTAGGTGCCGCAATTTTGTTTAGATAGTATGACAAGATAATGCTATAAAAATTAAAGGCTTTCGACTCAAACAATTCGAAAGAGCGCCTTGTTGGTACCTCATTCTCAATTCTCCATAAAACAGAGCAGTATAAAACCTCCCGTAAGAAGCTTGGACCACCTACCTTTTCGGAGTGATTGATATATTTTTTGCTGCTAGTTGTTGCTTACTCGCATCGTTCAAATTCGGTTCAGTCTGCTTGGTTGGTACGTCCCCACGGTAGTTGGCGTTCGATTTACCCTGGGTCGCCCTTCGATCACCGTCGTTTCCGGTTTTATTGTTAACACTTTTGTTGCTGGTGCTGGAACTGCTTCCTCGGGAGGAACTTCCACTTCCACTGCTGCTGTCTCTACTGCTGCTGCTGCTGCTGCTCATGCTACTCATGTCCGCTACCTCCTCCGTCGTCGCAAAGTATGGCAGTAAAATGGTACAACCCCACCTTCGATATGCCTCCTGGAATGGTAGATGGAAAGAAACGGACAAACGTGGATTAAACATTTATTCTCCGACAGGTTGGGAAGTTGATTTTTATTACAGCCAAGAGTTATTGTCCTGCTGGGGTGCTTCAAACTTGTGGGAAATCTTGCTACATCAAACTTGAATGCTGAAAAACCATCAAAACAGAGAGAAGAATTGAATGACAATCGCCCCAAACAGGTGTTCAAACTGAATTAACTATTTGTTTGCATGTTCACCACCAAATAACATGACACGGTTGTCACCGAATGCTTGCATAGCAAACACAACCGACCAACAGTCATCCATCGTGTCTCACAAGGAGTCAAGGAAGTGCATGAAAAAGGAGCTAGTAGCGCTTGGTTGAGTCTTTGACACACTCTCGGTGCTCGAGGCCAAACCCCATTCTTCTTCGACAATTTTCCTCTCGAAGTTGTGCAGCAAGGTGATGTGCAATGCCATACCACCGCATCATCATCATCATCATCATCATCATCATCAAACTACACGCCACCTAAATTGCACCGGAATGATGCTGCAGCATGTCTTGCGAAACCACCAGCTAGCTCCATATATTCGGGAAGACGGAGAAGACCGTCCAGGCCGAGAAAGAAAAATGCTCGTTGCAAATGGTGGCTGGTGGCAACCGCAATCGTTATGTTTAACCTCCAGTTGACCTATTTTTCGGCGCTGGGTAGTGAAAATGATAATGCATTCATTTAAATATTTAGCTTCCATGATTGTATCAACACTGGAAACTGTGTACTTGCACACAGGCTCTGGTCCGTGTGCTGGCTATATAGGCTAGGAAGGTATGAAGCAGAGTTGTAAGACAATGTCGAGTTGATGGTCAGTTGTGTGTTCAGGTTCGGAGGATCCAGCATAGGGTAGAGCGCCACTTCGTCGTAATCACCCATTTCCAATCAATAATACGTTTGTTCCGTTGCGTTAGTTCAAGCCTATCAAAGCGCATTGTATGAATATTTACACTCATTGTTCTCAAAAACAAAAGAACGGCTCGTAGGGAATAATTTTTTTTCTGCATTCATTGGACGCTGAAAATCAAAGGAAAGGAATTAAATCTAGCAGGAAAAAAATAATAACGCTGTCGGATTGCATCCAATTGAGTTGACGCCTTGAGTGAAGTTTTTAGGATAAATGAGGGCTACAATTTGGTGGAGAAAAATAGTTCAAGTTTTAGCCACAAAGATGACGCAGTGATACACCCTGCCCTTTGGTTCAGTGAGGGTTAGGGCGCGTTCTGCCTGGTTGGTCGTGGTAGATTTCATGTGTGAGTAAGTGATGACACTGGAGTTCCAAAGAGCCTGAACGAAATGTGGCGCTTGCGAAGATCACTTGAAGATACGATATGACGGAACATTGATACTAATTGAATAAAGCACAAGTAAATGCTTCTAGAAATTAGTTAAGATCACATATTGAAAAATGTGTTAATTGTTATTCAACAAATCCAATGTTGCATTGAAATACTTTCAATCGTTTTAGATTTAAATATTTCCTCATTACACATCCGTTGAACCGTTCTGAACGGCCATCCCGTTGTGGTCATATCACATCATTACTAATAATGTATATATGGGAAATGGCTCTAATGTTGGCCTGGTGGGACCTTGGTCGTATGCTGACAGGAAAGGAGGGACTCCTCTCTCCGGAGAGTGCCGTATTCGAGCGTCTGTTCACCATAGAGGTGCGGCTCAAAACGGCGTCTGTTCTCTATGTTAGGAGCGGCTGATCAACGTCCTGGTGTCAGCGTGGGACTCTAAACAGTGCTGGCGAGACAATGGGGGTTGGTGCAAGCCCTACAAGCCAGCCGCAAAAAAACAAAAGTACTGGAAGCAAGCAATGTAAGTACGGACCGGAACAATCGGCATAGACCCAAGCAACGGAAATGGACTAACGATTGGAAACTCGGAACATGGAACTGCAAGTCTCTCAATTACTTGGGAAGGAATTGTTGAGGATCAAAGGCCGTTTCTTCAATGTCAGCATAATCAACGTGCACAGCCCTCACTTAGCAAGTGACGATGACGATAAAGACGCTTTTTACGCGCAGGTCAAGGGAAAACGCGTGTAAATCGGTGAAATCGTTTATTTAAAAAATCAAATTAAATTTCTTTTTCAAGTTCAATTAGTATAAAATTCAGGAAAAATATTCAGTTAGGCTTCCGCTTTTCCAAATCCGAATTGCCGGGCCTTACGCTTGACCCCTGCCATCAGATTTTGTACAGCCACCTTGTCCACCTTCTTCGCCGCAGAAAGCCAGTTTGCCTTGAACTGCTGCTAGCCCTTAGCAGTTTTTTGGTCTTCTTTAGGTTCCGCTTGACAATAGCCCAGTATTTCTCAATTGGGCGGAGCTCTGGCGTGTTGGGAGGGTTCTTGTCCTTGGGAACCACCTGCACGTTGTTGGCGGCGTACCACTCCATGGCCTTTTTACCGTAATGGCAAGATGCCAAATCCGGCCAAAACAGTACGGAACAACCGTGTTTCTTCAGGAAAGGCAGCAGACGTTTATTCAAACACTCTTTCACGTAAATTTCTTGGTTGACAGTCCCGGAAGCTATGAAAATGCTGCTTTTCAAGCCACAGGTACAGATGGCTTGCCAAACCAGATATTTCTTTGCGAACTTTGAAAGTTTCATGCGCTTGAAAACATCTGCTACCTTTCCCCTTCCTTTTGCCGTATAAAACTCCTGTCCCAGAAGCTGCTTGTAGTCGGCTTTGACGTAGGTTTCGTCGTCCATTACCACGCAGTCAAATTTCGTCAGCATCGTCGTGTACAGCCTCCGGGATCGCGCTTTGGCCGTCGTATTTTGTTTATCATCGCGATTTGGAGTCACTACCTTCTTGTAATTCGATAGTCCGGCTCGTTTTTTGGCTCGATGCACGGTTGTAGACGATACACCCAGCTTATTTGCGGCATCTCGGAGAGAGAGGTTAGGGTTTCGCTTGAAACTACCGGCAACTCTCTTTGTCGTCTCAGCGGCTTCCGGTTTTCGATTTCCCCCCGATCCAGACTTCCTGGCTGTCGACAAACGTTCCCCAAACACTTTAATTACATTTGTAACGGTTGATTTGGCAACTTTTAGCGATTTTGCCAACTTTGCGTGCGAGTAGCTCGGATTTTCGCGATGCGCGAGCAAAATTTTGATACGCTGCTCTTCTTGCTTGGACGGCATTTTGACAACTAAAGAGTGAATTCCAAAATCAAAATAGGAGCAACATTCTACACACACACACCTTCAAAATGAGGGGTGTTCAGGTTTTTTAAATGCAAAATTGAAAGAAATACGTCAAGTTGATATTGACCAAATTTTGACCGTATCACCCTTTAGTACCTACTTCCAGCATAGTCTCCTCCCATATCGGTACACCTGGAGATCACCGCAGCAGACAGAATCGCAAATCGACCACGTTTTGATCGGCGGAAGGCACTTCTCGGACATTATCGACGTCAGGACCTATCGCGGTGCAAATATCGATTCGGACCACAAGCTTCTAATGGTCAAGGTGCGCCAAAAACTTTCCGTTGCCAACAACATTCGGTACCGATGCCCGCCACGGTACAATCTGGAGCGACTGAAGCTGCCCAAAGTCGCAACTGAGTACGTGCAATGCCTCGACGCAGCGTCGCCGGATGAGGGAGAGCTCACCGAAGCCCCTCCTAAGGACTGCTGGAGCAACGTGAAAGCAGCCATTAACCCCGTTGGGTTCGTGGAGCGGAATCGACGGAACGATTGGTTCGACGAAGAGTGTCAGACGGTTTTGCACGAGAAGAACGCAGCGTGGGCGGCGATGCTGCAGCAAGGAACCCGTCATAATGTGGAGCGATATAAACCTATCTTTTCCGGGATAAGAAGCGCCGCCTGGAAGAGCTGGAGTGCGAAGAAATGGAGCAGCTGTATCGTTCTCAAGAAACTCAACGCATCCCGCCAAGGCTTTGTGCCGCGAGCCGAAATGTGTCGGTGTAAGGAAGGAGGTATCTTGACGGACGAACGTGAGGTGATTGAAAGGTGGAAGCAGCACTACGATTAACATCTGAACGGTGCAGAAGTGGACGGCAGAAGGAATGGCTTCGTCGGTACAGCGCATGAGGGGGACATGCCAGCTCCCACGATTGGTGAAGTTAAGGATGCTATCAGCTTAGGAACAACAAAGCAGCTGGGAAAGATGGTATCGGAGCGGAACTTATCAAAATGGGCCCGGATAAGTTGGCCACCTGTCTGCACCGACTGATAGTCAGGATCTGGGATGCAGAACAGCTACCGGAGGAGTGGAAAGAGGGAGTAATATGTCCAGTATAAAAAAGGCGACAATCTAGAATGTAAGAACTATCGAGCGATCACTATTCCTAACGAGGCCTACAAAGTGATCATCTTTCGCCGTTTATTGCCGCTAGCCAGCAGATTTGTGGGATGCTACCAAGCCGGTTTATTGGACGGGCAATCGAAAACGGACCAAATATTTACGTTGCGAAAGATCCTTCAAAAGTGTCGTGAATATCAAGTCCCTACGCACCACCTATTCATCGATTTTAAGGCCGCTTATGATGCTATTGACCGTGAAGAGCTATGGAAGATTATGGACGAGAACGAATTTCCCGGGAAGCTGACCAGACTGATCAGGGCTACGATGGATGGTATACAGTGCTGCGTGAAGATATTAACAAAGTTAACAAAGTTACATCATGTTGACCATTTTGTATAAAAATCGGCATGCGCTACTATTTTATATAGTGCATTTTATGAACACGGTTTGCCAGGAACTTGTAACACTTGTAGCGGTCATTATTCCGCTGCATTATGAAATCATGGATTTTCATGATAAAATTGTCGATCATTGTAATGATTTAATTTTTTTTATTATTATTATTAATTTATTTGATAAGGCTCAACCGAATTACAGAGCCGAGGATTCTTGTTCACTTGTTCACAACATTTCATCTCCCGCTATCCAATAAGCCACCTCTACCAGAACGG